GTTCTTCTTCTCGTGTGTAGGTATCATAGTAAAGGGCTAACTGTTTTTCAAACCTAATTAGTATTAGAAGGTGTCATGTTAAGCATCTTTATTTCCATGAATTATGCTAATAATGTGACTTGTTAAATCGATTGAGTTATTTAAGAAGTTTTGTTAATATCTTACTCACTAACCATATATATTTGTAAAGTGGAAAGTATTTGCTTAAATGGAAATTATAGCTTTTTTTTTACCTTATTCAAATTATAGAAATCATATCTATAGGATTAACATATTATAGGTATGAGATTCTTCATTCACCTGCGGAAATCCTACCTTCATGTTCAACAATAAACATAGGAACTGATGTTGGTAACTAAAAGAAGATTTATAAATGTCTGATTTAGCTAAATGTTGAAAAGTCATGTTCTGTTGGATTGGATACATCCGTCTTTGTTGCTTTCTAAAATGATAAGAGAAATAGTGCCCTAGGATTATGGGATCAGATTTCTAAATGAGAAAAAAATGTATATGCATGACAATATGTTAATTTAATATCTTCTTTGTGCTAGAAAAGAATATATTAGGCTTCCCATCTCATAAAGAATATATTAGGTTCTTTCATTGATTAAGAGAATCCCTTTTTTTTGACTTAATAGCTTTCTTTTCATAACTTAGTAGCCATGATCTTTAAAATGTACTAGTGTGCTCTAAGGACCTAAAATGACAAAGAATTGACTATAATGCCTAAGACTTTGTTGTTTTGCCCCTTAATTTAAAATCAATTTAGATCCTTAAAATGAGAAGTATGTTCTGTTGAATTGATAATATACTTTCCCTTGTCGCTTTTCATGAAGTACAAAACAGGACTTTAGAATTTGTTTGAGACATAGAGCCAATAGACTTAGCTAATTTAAAGTAGCACCCCCTTAATGTTTTCTCAATTAGTCAATGCAGCTGAGTTTTGAATAAATAGTAACTTCTCTAAATTCTTTAAAGTTATAGTAAGGAATAAAATCTGTGATCTCCTTAAAGTCATGCGAAGAGCACTTTATATTAGAAGGGAATACTTTTTGTTATATAGTGAATTGGATGTTCATGAATTTATTTGGATTCTCTGTTCAGTATATGTCATTGGTCTAAACTTAATATGAAGAAATCTGCTAGCAGTCCTTTTGGGACATATTTGTATATTTTGCAATATATGAGCTTTGTGAAAAATAAGAAACTGTGTCCTTTTATGAGTCTGGGATTTACTTTAATGTTGGTTTATATCATTTGCCTTTTTATTTTCTTGTTTATTTAAGAGTTTTTCATTACTAATTCGGTTTTTGTTTTCTTTGCTTTGCATATACACTTGAAGTAATATGAGTCTTAATGCAAGACTCGCTACAACGCCCGAGCATGGAATCATCATATCCCTTATTCTTAGAAGGCATCGGATAGCAAGAAAACAAGTGAGACACTTGGGGGATGCCTATGGCACCCTTATTCATTTTTGTTATTTATTATCTTTGTCCTTCATGTTATCTGATTTTTGCATGTTAATTTGCTTATTTAGTTGAGTTACTACCCATTTTGGAATTGCATATTCAAACTTATGATTAGTTAAACAGAACTTTTATCTCATCTAAAGATCTAAAACTAGTAAATCAAAAGAAACTGGTTCCTATATTAACGCCTAGCCTATATATTTTAATGTATTTTCTTTAAAGGTATTAACTATAATCTAGTGTGAACTTATCTTTGTTTCAAATAGCATTGAGAACATTTGGCCCTAAAGCAAATTAGCTTTTAGACTTTAACATTGTGGAAAAAGTTGTCAAAATCTTTCTTTAGTCTCAGATGGTCTTTGAGTAGGAATTGGTTTATAAGAGTTTACCACATTAACTTAACTTTTCTTTTCTCACGTTTTTTTTTAAAAAATTTCGACAGAGTGAGTGTTGTTTTGAATTCACAATTTGGAATGCGGTTTTCAACATAGTTAAATACTTTGACTTATAAAAAAAAAGGAAATCCTCAAACGTTCAACTAATGTGCTTTTAATATTTATTATCCTAACTAGTGAATCAACATAAGTTTGACCGGTTAACCGTAGTTAACGGATCATATAGGGTGCTTTAATAACTTTCCCTATAGGATAAATTAGAACCCTTACCCATAATCTTAAGGTTAAATAGACTATATAAACAGAGTTAACTTTAGCGTTATTTAGATAAAAGATGGTGTCCTAATTCACCATAAAATAATTAGGTGGCAACTCTCTTAAAATTAATTAAACCTCAGAATCGCTAATATGTTATACTCTAATTTGACCCGATTTAAATGGGGTATAATAGCTTGGCGACTCTGCTGGGGACTCTAGGTTTTAAACCATAACAAACTTAGGTTAATAAAAATGGCTTTTGTGAATATTTTTTCTTTGTTACCTTATTTGAAAATGTGCTACTTCTTGTAAAATGTAATTGCTATCTTTTATAAACTGTTATTCCATTTTCACTTCCTCCACTTTTGGAAAATCACACTGAGCACACACCTAGCGGTTACGCGATTTGCGGCCGTGCACTTTTTCAAAAACACCTTTTAGGGGAAAGTTTGTGGATAAGTCGATCAGCGGTGCAATCGACAGTCACAGTTTTCCACCCTCAAGTTGTCCACTTGGGAAAAGACCAGTCTAGAAAAACCACTCTTAGCCGACCTAGGATAGAGCTAAACCAAATTCCTTCTTAGGGGCATGCATCACGCAACCTTAGGAGGCTTAATACCCTAGGTGTATTAAGTCCATTAGTTAGCCTTATCCAAATGTCCAAGCGGGTTTATAACCCCGAGCGACACTTATTCATCCTTTGTGTGCATTATTTGAAAGATAAACACACCGATTATGTGGACCACTTACTCCTAAATGGGAAAACGGGTAGGATTAATCTTTTCTGTGATGCAGGAAATTATGAATCAAGTTGTCTACCCAAAGATCGGCATGGTGTTGGACATCCCTCCCAAACTAAAGGCACGGTGGAGAAACTTAGGAGAAAGCGCACAATTTGAAGTGAGAAAGAAGTTGGGTCATCTACCATTACTTATGGAAGTCACAGCATGTAGGGAAATTATTGAGGCAGCAGTCACCTTTTGGGATGAAGAAAGGGCCGTATTCAGATTTGGAGAAAATGAGATGACTCCATTGTTAGAAGAGATTGGAGGCTTCATAGAGAATGCGAGTTTGTTATGGAAAGGCAGACATTCTTAGCAGAACGCTGGCATGATTATTCCAAAAAATCCCTTGACAAAAGAGTTCCTGGAAAAGTTTGGTTTTGAGAAAGAAATTGGGCTAGAGCATTTGAAAGAATCCAAAATACCCCTTGACTATATGTTTGACATTTTTGGATGTTCAGGTGCTTTTCTACGACATCGAGAAGTGTTCTCCTCACATGCTTCTTGGAGTGAAAAAAAGGGTATTCGCTTTTTCAGTTTGTTTCCTCGGGCTCCTAGTATTTCCCCAAGGAGCAAAGCAGGATATTCACACCCGACTTGTCATGGTTACTGATGCATTATTTAATGGCATTGATGGAAAGCCATACACCATAGTTCCGATGGTTGTCGCAGATATATACCGAGCTTTAGGCCTTTGCAAGAAAGGATTTAAACATTTTGAGAGATGTAATTTGTTGCTGCAGTTGTGGTTTATGGAACATCTCCAAAAGATCAGTGGGAGCCAAGAGCTTTACAAGCAAAACGGTGCTAATCACATCACGTCATACACAATCCCAGTGGTTGCATTCAAGCGTCCAAATAGTGTTAAAGGATGGGGCAAGTTACTTAGCAAGCTAAATGATACCACAATTCAATGGATGTTTTCTTGGTATCCATCTGAGAATTTTGTAATCCGTGGAAAAATGCTACCTTACTTGGTTCTCATCGGGCTTCGAGGACTTCAACCATATGCTCCATTACGAGTTATGAGACAAGCCGGAAGAAGCAAGTCATACCGCAAGTTGATAACATGGATCATTATCGAATTGACTATGATAATGATAAAATTCCTTTTGCACAGGAAATTCTCAGGATGTGGAGAAACAAGAGAGCTATGGTCAGGGATACAATTGCACCAGATAGGTACCAAGCTGGATGTGACACTTTTTATTTAGAATGGTTACGTGCCCACCTTGAAGGTTCTGTCACAAGATGGATTAATCTGGGTGGCCGAATCAAAGATAAGGCAGCCGAAGCTGAAATCAAGTATCGCCGGCTGAAAAGAAGGGTGTCCGAGTCTGAAGCAAAGCACAAGGAGCAGCATGAGAAGGAAAACAAAGAGATTGAAGTGTTGAGACAACGAGAGGAGATGCAAAAGCAACAAATAGAAATGTGGAAACAACAAGCTGTAGAAATGGAGCAAGGACTCAAAGATTTGGATAGAGACCTCGAGAAGCAATTCATAGAATGCTATTGCCAAGGACTGGACGAAGGAGGAAAGCTAGCCATGGTTTACCTTGTGAAGAATCGCCAGAAAATTGATGAGGCAATCAGAGCATCGAAGAGGCTAAGGGGCAATGAAGAACCATCCTCAGTCAACTAGATTAGAACTATGTTGTAGTCTTTATTTTAATTTAGGCTATGCCATTGTAATCGTTTTGGACTAAGGCAATGTTGGTATTTCTCTTTTAATTTATGTACTAAGCTGGAATCATCAATGAAAGTGATTTTTGGGGTGTCTAATTAAGGAGCAATGGAATGATATATAATGGTGTGTTTCATCTCTCAAATTTTCGCTAGGCCTACCTCTGGCACAAAGAGGTCCCATGCATACTAGGACACGCTTATCATTGCTTGACTTATTTGTATTATTACGTGATTTGTTTGTTATGTGATATACTTGCTTTTAAATTTAATCACCACTTACTAACATTGTCTTTATTTTCTTTTTAAAGGTTTTCTATTTTTATTACTCCCCAAGGTTGATTTGTGTTGACTGCGAACTGGCTGAACACCCATACTTCATGAGATCTAAGGCACGAGCAGCTACCAACATGACTGGTTCAAACACATCTAATATGACAGGCTTGGGACTTGTCACAGTTCAACGAGACGAACCCGAGGCTTCGAAAGGAAGGGAGGTTACCCTATGTGATAAGCACATCGCCCAATTGTCGCAACAAGTGGCTAACCTGCAAGGTGAAATTGAACGGCTTCGGAACCTTACCAATCTTTCTATCAGCCTCAACACACCACTTCCCGAAGAAAGGACAAATGCACTTATCCCACCACATTTCCCATCTTTTGACCCACCTATCCAGGAACACCTTCCATCAAACCTTCCACTTCACAACAACAAGCCAACATCCACTAACGCACATGCTAACCCGCAACAAGCCAACCCATCGACTTTTACCACATCATATGTTTCCCAACCACCACCAGCCCAAAGCACCCCGCTAACCCAAAATCACCATGTAACCCAACACATACCGATGGCACACGTCGCTATTCCTAACATACAGCATGTGCCTCCGGTATATGTAGCGGAAGCACAACCTTTTACTACCCCTATGCCTCACCAACTTCACTCTGAAGTGTATCAGTATCAGGAAGCAGGAAAAGAAGTAAGGGCCAAAGCCGACGAGTATATGGCGAAGGAGATCCGTGAGTTAAAGGAAGCATTGAAAAGTCTAAAAACCGTTAGGAGTATGGAAGGTTTGGAGTATGAGGATCTATGTGTTCATCCCGATGTCAATTTACCCGCAAGATATAAAGTACCAAAATTTGACATGTTTGGTGGAAAAGGAAACCCACGAGCTCATTTGAGGTCGTATTGTGATAAGTTAGTTGGAGTGGGAAAGGATGAAGCTATCAGGATGAAGCTTTTTATAAGGAGTCTTACAGGGGAAGCCCTTGATTGGTACACAAGTCAAGACCTACAAAAATGGCGCAGCTGGAGTGTCATGGCACAAAAATTCATGGACAGATTCAGATTTAACACCGAGACCAACCCAGATAGGTTCTATTTGATGACGTTGGAGAAGAAAACAACAGAATCCTTTAGAGAGTATGCCATGAGATGGAGGGCAGAAGCAGCAAGAGTCCAACCCCCGATGGGAGAAGATGAGATGACCACTACTTTTATTCGATCTCAAACGGATGCAACGTACTATGAGAGATTGATAAGCATGCTGGGGCAGAAATTCTCGGAAGTTGTTAGGATGGGAGACGTTATAGAGGAAGGTCTCAAATCAGGAAAGATTACAAACTTGGCAGCACTACGAGCAACGAGTAAGGCAATCCAGTCAGGAACTATTGGAGGAGCAAGTAAGAAGAAGGAGAAAGAAGTATC